TAGCCATGACCTAGAGCTGTCATGGATGTGGGGACTTGAAAGTTTGATGTCTTCCTGCTGTCTGTCAAAAGTGAAGAGGTGGATCTGGGTGGGACTCTGGAAACGTCTCTGGGATCCTCAATAAAACTAGGGTGCAGGAGAAACATGTTGTCCCTCTCCTCTCTAAGAGGATCCACTCTCTCCCTTGAGAGTGTTCCCTTCCCCTTTTCCTGTCCCTTCTATAAACCCATGCCTGTTTCTTTGAGCAATATGTCTGAAATCTTTCCAACTTGATGGCAAGAATCAGGGTTTCAAAGGTGGGGGTCTTTGCACTGCCTCAGTTTCCCAGAAGGCMCAGCAGTTTTAGGTAATTGAAACTCAAAGGAGTGTTGTTTGTGTTTTGTTTTGTTTTGAGAGAGGAGTTGGTTAAAAATCCTGAGGGTAAATGATGAACTATCTGGAAGCCACCATGAAATACCTGTGGGCTTGAAGGAAGGAAGGAAGGTGCCTGGACTGGAGCCTGTGGGAATGCCTCGTTCCTGGGCTCCAGTTTCTATAGTTGTGATGTCAGGAGGAGAAGCATGTTATTTCTTATTTTATTCACAATCATATCCCCACCACATTACCAGCTGCAAAAGTTGATGACTTGTCACCTCTCTGCACCCCTGAGTGAGGAGACGATGAGGGCAGTCTGCAGAACAAACCAGGGGGTTCTGGAGATGTGGAAGGGGCTGGAGAAAGGGGGCAGGAGCAGGGAGTAGAGTGAAGGATCACAGCAGCGGGATGGACCTCACCAGGGAAAGTAGTTCACAGCAGGAAATACAGGCACTGGAATATCCCAGAGCAGGGGCTGTGATGGTCCAGAGAGAAAGTATCTTGGGCTCAGTGGGCTATATGGTAGATATTACAACTACTCAAGTGTCYTTGTATGCAAAATCCACTGTGAACAAGAGGCTGCATCCCATAAAACCARTGAACACTGAATTTTGAACTTCATGTAATTTTCATGTATGAAGAACAAGCAGTATTCTTCTGATTTCTTCAACTGTTTAAAAATGTAGTTGKATGTGATGTCACACACCTGTAATCCCAGCTACTCRGGAGACTGAGGCAGGAGAATTGTAAGTTCAAGGCCATCCTGGGCAATAGTGATACCCTGTCTCAAAAAAAGGGGGAAGGGGAGGGTTCTGKGGATGTAGCTCAGTGGTAGAGCACTTGCCTAGTATGCTCAAGGGCCTGCGTTAGATCCCCRGCAGATTAAAATGCCAAAGCACTTCTTACATTACAACTGCACAAAGAGGCAGTGGCCCTGGTTTGGCCCARGGCCTGCCTTGTCATAGAGTAAATTTCCAAATATTGCCTGGGATGCATAGCTACATGGCATCTTTAACTTCAAATCAGTAAATCCTGGAACTGTGTGACGCCTGTGGGGATTTGGGGAAAGGGTGGATCCACATTTCAGTGGTAGTAAGGAGCAGGCAGACACTGGGATGAAATACAAGCAGAAGATGGAATTCAGTGGAAACAGGGAAACCGATGAAACCGTGTGGTCGGATATATAAGATGAGGACAGGGATTATATTTAGAGGAAAGTTTTCCCTAGAGGTAGTCAGGTCCTGGGCTGTACCACTAGCAACAGGGATAGAGAGCAGGAGGTATGGGAGACACTGAGGGTGAGGTCAATGCAAGATGGTCACTGACAGCATTAGGGGATGAACCAGGATCTGTCTTGGCAACCCCTGAAATGCAGCTCCATCTGCAGCARTGCCCTTTGGAGTAACAATGGGTTGAGGAGAAGAAGGTGAAGACTTTGGATCTGGATATGCTGAGGGCTTTGGTCCAATAGACAAGGGATGGTCTCATCCTCCCTCCAGGGAAGGCAGTCTGGTTCCAAGAAAGTATCAGAGAGTGGGGCTTCAGGAGGTTGGCCCCCCTCCATGTGTGTGGATGGCTCATTCCCAGGCTTCCCAGTCAAGACTCAGCYCACCACTTTCCCCTGAGCAGTGTTGCCTGGTCCCCAGTTGACATGCCCCTTGTGAACTCCCAGGGGACCAGACCCTGTATTAGCCCAGGGCATCTACAGGAGGAGTGAGGCTTTCCCTCACCCTTCCTCCCACAGGAATGTTTGCTACACAGATTCCTTGGAGCATGCAGATGTGAGCTCTGTTCTCTCAGATTTCCCTCTAACTGGTGAAGAAGCACAGAGGAGCACTGCCTAGAAATAGTATTTCCYCTGCTCCCATTTGTCAAAATAATCCAACTAGAAGTGTTTTGCTAATTTCCTAATTCTAAGAACAAGANCTCCTAGTAGCATCTCACCATCCATCCTTCTAATGTGTGCTTACTTTTCCCTAACATGAAAAATGTCAGTGTTATGCCTCATTTGAATGAAGAATTTATGCCAGTGCTTATGCCAATTTCTGGTTAAGCCTATTGGGTTCCAAAATGGTAATTATTAGGAGACCAATCAGGAAAGACATTTGACTAAAAATTAAGTGGGAAATATTTTGAATTGGTCTCTAATGTTGATTCTTCCCCTTCAGCCACAGCCCCATCATCTCTCCACCTGTCGCTGGGGGGAGCCCTCATGCTCCCTCCCTTCGAATCCCTCATGTCTCATGGGTCCTTGGAGAAGTGCCCAGTCCCCAGGGCCACCCTCCCACTGGAAAGTGCCTTTCATGTGCCCCTTTCTCACGGGAATATTCATCTAATGGAGTTTCCGGGATTGAGAATTCCCAGTATTCAAACACATCAGTGTTAGTTGCATTGTTTTGTCTAGTCTGCAAGTTTGCCCACATTGGTACCAGTAAAAAAATAAAAAATAAAAAAAAAAAAATGATGCCCCACTCCTCATTCACTGAAGAATGCTTTCTTCATTTTGTGGCTTTCAGTTTTGAGAGCGATAATCAACTGATTAGCTTTTAAAAACATTTCCTGTTTTGCTGCAAGCTAAGGAGAAAAGCCACAGAGCACMGTGTTAGAATAACCCAGCATTGGCTCCTGTGTGCAAAGCACTTATAGATGCTTTCGAGTAAATATAAGTTAGAAAATTAGCAATGGAAAGCACTATCTAAGGATAATAATTCTTAAGTTAATAACTGTTCAGMATTGAGGTGCTTACCAGCTCATATATGGACACCACCTTTTATTCCTTTCCTGTTTTTGTTCCAGAAAAGAATGGAAGTGTTTCAGAAAAGCAGATATGGRACTATGAATAAAGGTAAGAAAGTCTGGAAGCTCTAAAGAGCATCAGTCTTTGGGAGAGTTGCTCTTGCCTCCCTACCCTTAGCCCACCCCCAAAACAGGGATAGAAACCCCATTACTCTAGACTGAAGAAGAAAAGGGCAACTATCCTTTGTTCCCTACCTCTCTAGCCCTCTTGTGCCTGGCCCACCATTGTCACCAATCACACACTACATGGTGTGATGCTGTCCCTGCACAGCCTGTGGAAGAAATGAAATTCAGGCCAGAGGTTAGASGGTTGGGAACTGAAGAACATGGTTTCTCTTGCCCTGGTTCCTCTCACTGGAAAAAAGTTCCCCATAGAGACTTAGTGATTGATTGATTGAAACACCCCCAGAATACATAACAAAAGGAAGACTCAACATGGCATAGAAAGAACGGAATAATCAATTTTAGGTGCCTAAAAAGGAGGTTGAGTTCATTTGGGTCTAAAGAACTCTAGACATCTCCAGATTCTCACCCCCTCCAATATTGAARATTTAGCTCTTGGCTCAGAGCCATCATCTCCTACACTACTTTTRTTATAATTTCCTGCACTTCAATGAACCAAATAGATGGTCTTTCTAGCACATGTGCTTCTGATGGTCTTATCTTCTTTAGCCACCTATTCTAGTGTCATCTCCCAGATTTTGCACTAACATTAACTGTGACCCAGGAGGTCACAATTTGAGATGAGGAATCATATCAAATTCAAGAACCCCACTCCCCCCAACAAAGAGACACAGGGATGTTCATCTGGCAGTGGTGGTGGTCACTACAGCTCAGCCATGTGAGACCTTTTTTAATTTTAAGGTCCAGGTGAGGGCACTGAGCTCATCTACGGCGGTATACCTGGGAACTTTGCATGAGAGAAGTATACTTGGGCTTCTCATCTCTGCATCCTTCTAGACTCACATTTATTTAATAGCCAATGCCCTCTGGCCTGCCCTAAGCACCATTCAGATAAAAGCATAGGGACCACTTCCCTCCCCCCCAAGAAAAATCATCCAGATGAAGTGCGTGAAGCAGCTCCTTAGTGTGGCACTTCTGGCCCCTGGCTATGGATCAAGCCAGAGCCCCAGCTGGGCATCTTACAATTCAAGAACCAGTTAACATTGTAGGCACACATTTGGATGCATTTAAATATGCCTATGTGTCTGCGAAGGAGGTCCTGAGCTTGTGAGAGACTCCCATGAGGGTCCATGGTCTGAAAATCACAACTTGGTAGAGCACAGCGCCCTATGTTTTTCACAGGTGAAGTAGAAGAGATCTGCTTTGCAACAGCGGCCTCATTGAGGATCCTCCTGGTGGGCAGAACAGGCAGCGGGAAAAGCGCCACAGGAAACAGCATCCTCTGCAGGCCAGCCTTTGAGTCCAGGCTGGCCGCCCAGTCGGTGACCAAGGCCTGCCAGGGGGAGAGGGGCACGTGGAATGGGAGGGACATCCTGGTGGTCGACACGCCCTCCATCTTTGAGGCAAAGGCCCACTCGCAGGAGATGTACAAGGACATCGCAGACTGCTACCTGCTGWCTGCCCCAGGGCCCCACGTGCTGCTCCTGGTCACCCAGCTGGGGCGCTTCACGGCCCAGGACGCGGTGGCAGTGAGGAGGGTGAAGGAGGTGTTTGGGACCCAGGCCATGAGGCACACGATCGTGCTCTTCACCCACCGGGAAGACTTGGGCGACGAGTCCCTGGACCATTACGTGGTCAACACGGACAACCTGGGCCTGCGCCGGCTGCTGGCCGAGTGCGGCCGGAGGT